GTCCATGCAGTAGGATGCTGTGAGAATTGTAGGTGATCACTGCAGAGATGCACTGTTCACATCCAGAAAGGTTTAAAGAAGGAAATCTGAGAAGGGTTTAGCAGAAGGTCAGAGCACTGCAAAAATAACTTAGTGCAGGGTATACGACTTCCAGGCCAGGCATGCGGGGACTGAACCTCATATCAAACACTGACTCTTAGATGTAGAGCATTTTGGAAAATGAATAAAAATGGTGATATTCCTGGCCAACGGTGAAGGCGGTGGACATGAGGCCCGCACCCCAGGAGCTGGCTGGGCATTTCGGGAGCATTTACCCTGCAGGGTGCCTGTGGAGCAGCCCACTGGCTCAGGCCCCCCCGGTTTTGCCACCACGCTGGGGCAAGGCGAGGACATGCGTCCTCATCCTGGGGGTTAGTTTCCACTAATCAAGGTCACCAGAGGCAGACATATAACTAGAATGCCAATTTATTTATCTGTGTTACGAACTATAAACAGCAAAGGACCATGTGCTCAGTCCTCGGACCAGCAGCTTCTAATCCGAAGGAAAGAACACAGGAGCAGAGGGCGCAGGATGGAGCCCAGCCGGTCACCCACATGGGACGAGGTGCTCAGCAGCCTGGGTGGGCTTTTCCATTTAGCCACACTCCCCCCTCCCTTCTGAGGCCCTAGCATTTTTTCAGATAAATTAACGCCCTTGGTTAGGTTCCAGCTGAATCATGCGCTTTCTCTTTCTCCAATGCCTCTTCATCTCGTGTCAGTCGATAATTTAACTCCTAGAAGACAATCTGATCTCCCAGTTCTTGAGGTGGGGGCCCCACAACATTGCCCCCATGCATCTCGTGCATAAGCAGCACGCTTAGCTTAAATCTTGTGCGCGTCTTGTCATCTTCCCTGTTTTGCAGAAATCTTGTACACCGTCATAAAAATGCAGGGGAAAACTTGAAGCATGGGATTCGGTTTCCCATTAAATTGATTTGATGCAGCTGAAGGTTGGCTCAATCCTCTAGACCTCCTTCTCCCTAAAT